AGCCTGCCTGTGGGCCGGGGCAAGGCCAGGAACCCTGCTAAAGGTACCAGGCCCCCTCCCCTGACACCCCCCGATGAGCCCCCCCAGCCCGGAGCAGGGGGTTCCACAGCTCTGCTCTGTAACCTCTGGCTGCTTCTTCCCATCCCTTCGTGTTGGTTCGGAGAGGCTGTTCCCGGGGCTGGGCTGTTTCTGGCCATTCTCACCCTGACCCCTCTGCTGTCCCCTGGGCTGGTGGCACAGTTGTCCTGCCCACCTGCTGTGCATGCCCATCTGTGACCTGGAGCTGCTGGCACAGCGTGGGTGCAGTGCCCCAGGTGGGCTCACCTGGACCCTCCATCCCCTACCCCCTGAGCCCTACACCTTGGTGTCACGACTGAGCAGGGGTGCCAGGTCCTGCTGCATCCTTCCTGTGGGGACAGAGCTCATGTCATTGCCTTGAGAAAGCAGATGGGTTTCAGGGCTGCCAGCCCTGGTCCACAAACCACCTGCAAGCGTGAGGGAGGGGGAACAATTTGGGACCTCTCAACTCCAGCACTGGGTTTCCCTGGTGGCTAAACCATGGTTGTCCTTGGTGGCTGGCAGGGGCAAAGTCTCCTGGGGAGAAGTCCCGCTACGAAACCTCCCTGAACCTCACAACCAAGCGCTTCCTGGAGCTGCTGAGCCAGTCACCCGACGGCGTCGTGGACCTCAACTGGGCAGCTGAGGTCTTGAAGGTGCAGAAGAGGCGCATCTATGATATCACCAATGTCCTGGAGGGCATCCAGCTCATCACCAAGAAGTCCAAGAACAACATCCAGTGGCTGTATGTCCCTGGGCTGGGCTCGTGGGGCTGTGGTTGGTTGTCCTGTGGTTTTGGGGGAGACCACCTGGGTCAGGCTTGGGTTGGAGTAAGGGGGAGAAGCTCAGAGCAAAGTCACCAGAACATCTGCTCGGGGCTTAGAGTGGTGGCTTCCCCTTCCTGTGGGCCTTGGGGTGAGTGCTGTGCTTTGAGCACAGGTGGCTCCTGAGCATCAGCATCCCCGTGTTGGCTGCGAGTTTCCCTGAGCCAGCCCAGGGAGCGGGGAGCTGTGTCCAGGCTCAAGGAGAGGACCCTAGAGCTGTCCCTTACTGAGAAATCCCTGCAGTGCTGATTCCCTGGGCATAGGGTGGGGACAGCGCATTGAGAGAGTCTCATTGTGGAGCAGAGGGAGCCCAGGTTTGCCTGCTGATGGTTCTGGTGCTCCCCAGGGGCAGCCAGGCCAGGCTGGGAGCCCCCAGCTGCGCCTGCTCACCGAGGACCCCTCCAACCAGCAATATCCTTGGGAAGCAGGGCTGGGGATGGGGCTGGCAGGGTGTGGGGAGGGAAGGGGTTGAGCCCTGCCCTGAGCCCAGCAGGCAGCGTCCCCGTGTCTGCTCCTTGACCCCTCACACCGCAGCCTACATCAACTGCCAGGACCTCCGCAGCGTCGTGGCGCCCTCGGCGCAGATGGTG